AAAGCAATAGATATTGTATAAAAGCAATATTTTCACACATGAGAAATAATCCGGAACGGCATAATGCACGAAGAAACGTTTCTATAAGTAATTTTTATATTTTTATATTTTTATATTTAGATAAAAAATTATGAGGGGGATATTTTACCAGTGTATATATCGCTCGTTTTCTCCCGCATTTTTGGCAGGATATTTAATTAAAATCACATCCCAATAAAGTTCCAACGTTTCGACAATTCCCAGTGGCAGTAGCAAGATTAAGTGAACTATCGCTACCGCGAGCAACGTTCTGCTCGAATTGTGCGTTCTGCTGCTTCTGTATCTAAAATTGTCTGAGGCGAGAGTCGCCGTTAAATTTTTCCATCCGATGATGTCATCGCGCGTTGATAGTGGATGACTTACGAGTTAGCTCATTGTGAATCTTGTAAGACTTTCTCATGCGAATAATCAGCAGCAGGTTGCCAATTGATATAAAGAGCAAAGGCAGCCACGTGGACAAGGCGATATAAAGATACATGGCGCTACCCCATGGTTTTATCTTCTGGCATGGTACAAACTCAAACACACTATCAGTCTCATATCCTGCAATTAGAATAACTCGTAAATCATTGACAACGACATATAACACTGTACAATAAAGATTTTGTTTCACGACATGTGGCGGATAATTCTGATAAATTATTTTTCCGAATCCGTAAAAAAATGCTTTAATACGTAAGATTTTTAAGAAAAATCGGGTTAAAAAGTCAAAAAACGGGTTTTTGAAATTGTTAAAAAAATGGAACATCTTAAAAATTTGGGAGTTAACTCGAAATTAAAACGTAAAATAAAGATAAATAATAAAAGAATAAAATTTTTTTGTAGCACGTTAAGTAAGTTATAAGTAAGTTATTCTATTACATATTATCGGTTTTCTCTCAAAAGCCTTATGTGCTGGAACATTTTTTTATTACGCATTTATAATTTATGGGAAAAAAAACCTATCGGAATCACCCGCCACGTGTCATGAGACGTGACAACAAAGTTTAAAAATATTGTTAAGTGTAATTGAATCGCAAAAAAGGAAGCTTGAGCTGATACGCTTTACCACCGGAGTACAGCTTTGTCAAGGATATCACGAAGCTTATGCAGACCAGGCTGGTGATGGTTGTAACCGCGGAACAATTCTGGCAACCGCGAGCTCCGAATGGGAACACCACGGCGATGACGCGCGTCCAGGTGAGAGCGACAACCAGCCAGGTCGACGTGAACTGGAAAAGTTCCATGCTGACAGAATTCGCGCCGCATAAGAATCTGCTGTTCTACGAGAAAATCGTGATTATTGTGCGAGTATCGTGGGTATTGTGAGTATCGTGGATTTTTCCCGCGTTTCTCTAACGTTTCTTTACTTGATCGGAAGGGAGTCAACTTGAATTTTGTATTTGTCCCGTCTGACGAATGAACGTATTTCTCACGGATGAGAGGATCGGAAAACGAAAAAGAGTGAAAAGCGAGAGGTGAAGATCGATCGCACAAACTGAGATATTTACCATGAAAAGATCGTTAACGGATGTGGAGTGCGATTTGGCGACGCTGACGGCGTAATTGAATATTAACGCTCCATTGTCCGATATAGCGAGCGCGCTTAGATAAAGTGACAAATTCGAGTCACATAGCACAGGTGCGCTCAACATACTAAAAGATACAGTATTTAGCAATACACCTATACGAAGTGAGTTACAACATTGTATTATGAGAACGGTCGGGAATTACACCGGTAGAGTGATCGACATTTCTTACCGATTATTATAACGAATGGTGTTACGTAGCGGAGCAAGAAGCGGACGGATCTGACAAACGGCTGCAACGACAGCCAGTACGAGCGCACCTCGCAGGGCCATTTAATCTCTAAATCGGGCTGACTGGAATTGCGAATGAAATCCAAGACCGTTACGGGTAAGGGACACTTCGAAACGGTTCTGAAATTTAAGGGATGTTAAAACATGGCGAACGATAAAACATTGATTTTGACGTGTGCGTAAAGAAATTAAGTATATAAAACTTACCGTGTAACATAAAGACACAAGTGTAATGTACGATAAACGTAAATCATGTAATTTTTTATTTTCAATTTTTGAAACTGAAATCGCTGCGGTAATTTAAAGCGCAGAACAAAAGATAATAGATTTAATAGTGTGATATTTTCTTACCTGGGGGAAGCGTTATACGATAAGAAAAGCTCGTTAGAATCCACCGAGACGATATTCGCGACAAATATCAATACTCGGATATTTTTATTATGTAGCAAAATCATTTTACACTCGTAACAATCGAGAACTTAAGATTTGTTTCTACTCTGATACTATGTCTGAAGAAGAATTATCTGTCCAGTAGCACAGATACGACTAACAATGGGTTACTTTAATTAGAAGCTGTGGAGCATCTGTCGTCGATTATCATAATGTGACGTATCTTAATTAACATTTCCAAGTAAGCAATTTATGTTGCTTTGGACGTTGCTCCATTCGGAGTACATTAACACCGATATATATATATATATATATATATATATATATATATTATTTTATTTTTATTATATATATATAATAAATAATATATATATATAAAAATTAGTTCCTACCCTGATAGTTGTGTATATATATATATATATTTTTTTTTTTACCTACGCATATATATTTTTGGAAAAATATAAAAATAATGAATTTTGATGATAATCGAAAATTTTAAAATCTACGTATGTTAAAAAATTGAAAAAAAATCACTTGAACGCGCTAATGCTTTATATATGTGTATATATGTGTAATTAAAAAATTGCAATGAAAATTTAGTAATGAAAAAGGTTCGCATCGGATTATGTTATAAAAGCTAAAAGTTCACATTAATTTGCAGTTGCTATAAAATATCTAATAGGAATATTAAATTTGATATATGATATTCGGCTATTAAAATCGTATATTTTATTTTCAAACTGAAAAACAATTAACACAGTTACACAAATTTACATGGCTAACAAACGATGTGTAAAAAAGATAATCGCAGCGGAAAACAATTTAGCCGTCATATATTACGTCGACTGTTAATTAAAAGCTCGAAATAATGTGTTTACGTATATTTCATTACGTCGTATCTCGCATTTTCGTTTCTGAACGGATAGTTTCTATTCATTGCGAATTGATGATATGCTATTTCGATTCGTCATATAATCTTATGCAACGATCTCGCGAGCTTGCGGGATGTACTGTTACTTTTATTTCTGCGCAATATATATATAGGAACACTCTCATTCTATACAAATATATTTCTTAACATGTATAATATTAACATATAATATTTACATTTATATGATTCACACAAATTCACGAGTAAAAGGCACATGTTGAAACCACGATAGCTTGACAATAATTCCACTATTAGCCGCCACTCTTTCGCCAAGGATGCGTTGCAACTACGTCAATTCGTCTATTGACTTTAAAACGTTAGGTAAATAAATGCTTTGGCAAGTTTTACAACTAATGTATTTAATTTAATGCAATGATATGATATGCGATGTTGCGTGATTCATTCGTACTGATTAATTTGTCGTATCGGTATCTTCCGTCGTGATAGATTCGGTTTATACGAAAAAATATTCAATCTGAAAACGTAAATTTATATCCGACATCAAATCGTAGATTCGAATTTTCCGATTACCCTCATACATTTCTCTTCTATCAAAAATATATATTCCATTCCTCTGATGTTTCGCGATAATAGTCAATCTTCGCGTGTAATAGTCAATACTACAAATTTCGCCTTTCTATATATATTCCCCCGCAGATTCAGCAACTTATTTACATTATTGTTACACTCCCATGACTTGACGTCGATATCTATATAAAATCATCGCAAAACCGTCTTTCTGAAAAAATATTTCTACTTCCTCGGAAGCGGGAGGGAAGGGTGCGAGGGATGACGTTCGATCTCTCAAGTAATAACAAATGAAGCAGATCTAAAAGATAAACCAATTTCGAATAATTGGTTTCTGTGTAATATACACTGTTCATTTTCATTATTCAGAGTGTACACTATTTATATATATATATATATATATATATATATATATATATATATATATATA